GGGGTGCAGCGCTCGTCCCCAAGTGTTCCGCTGTCCGCAGCTACTACTTTGACTTTACAGCCATTCTACTATAGTAAGCCCTACCTTGTCAGGTAATTCCTTCTTCCTTGGTGGCTCGGCCTCTGGCCTGGGGTTATTTTCTTCTCCAAATACATATCAGGCTTCCCCAGTCACTATGTATTTTCTGCCGCCTGATTATTCTCCAGCTAGGGTTTCCCTTATGTTATGTTGTTCACTTTGGTGTCCTGTTATACTTAGAATTAGATTTGTTACATTCGCCTCACTGCTAATTCTAGACAATAGGACATTAGGTTTCTGCAGAGTTTGTTACTAGGCTATAAGATTACGTTATTTTACTACGGGTGTACAATTTAAGATGTTTCGTGTACTTTGAGTTAGCCACGGCTATGTTATACATTTGTTAAGTCCTATTTAGAAGCCTGTTTTACTTCTGCAGAATTATTTATCATGTCAATAAACTTACGCCCCCATGAGTTGGTGTCTTCCTTCCCCTGATCAGAAAAATCAGCTTTTCGAAAATCTGGCACTTTAACAGAATTTTTTCCTACAGGTCTATTCCATTCTATGCTAAATCTGATTACTTTGTGATCACTGTTCCCTAGCTCACTCCCTATTTCGATGTCATTAATTTGTGTTTCCCTGTTAGTTAACACTAAATCTAAAATATTATTTTCCCGCGTTGGTTCCTTAATGTGTTGCGCCTTAATGTGTTGCGAAAGAAAGCAATCGTCAATTAATTCTAGAAAATCTTCTGCTTCACTATTCCCTGTTTTGTTCACCCAGTTTATTCCACTAAAATTAAAGTCACTCATGACATAAATACTGTTAGATCTAGATGCTCTAGATATTTCATCCCATAGATGCTTTGCTTCCATTCTGTCTAAATTTGGTGGCCTATATATATAGGCCACCATATATATATAGGAGTTATATATATAACTCCTATTATAATATTATTTGCTTTTTCGTTTAATTCTATCCAAATAAATAAATAAATAAATGTTTATTTAGGTAAGGTACATACATACAAGAGATTTTACAAAGTTTGTTGGATTAATAGAGAGAGCTAGTACATACAATGCCTAAAGACACTATTACGCAAAGCGTTTCGGGCAGGAAAAACATTAATGACTAAAGCTTAATACTAATGGGTATAAAGAATAAAATGTGTTGAGAACAAATAAAAATAGAGGTAAAAGAGGGGGAACATGGCTGAAAAAGCAGCACAAATACAATTACAAATTATTACAGACAATTACATTCAAACAGCATTGTTTTGAAAAAAACAGACATGGGTTGACAACAGAGGGGTAAGGTAGGTTACAGGGAATTTATTAGGTAGAGCTTCGTTTTTATCTTAAACTGGTTGAGAGAGGTCTTTAACATGGTTGGGAAGGTCATTCCACATTCTGGGTCCCTTGATTTGAAGAGCATTTCTAGCTTGATTAAGTCGTACTCTAGGAATATCAACACTGTATTTATTTCTGGTGTGGTGCTCATGGGTTCTGTTACAACCTTCAATGAATCTTTTGAGGTCAGGATTGGCATTACAGTTCAGCGTTTTATATATGTATAATACACATGAGAGAATGTGCAGTGACTTAATATCTAACATATGGAATGTGGAATGACCTTCCCAACCATGTTAAAGACTGTACCTCTCTCAACCAGTTTAAGTTAAAAACGAAGCTATACCTAATAAATTCCCTGTAACCTACCTTACCCCTCTGTTGTCAACCCATGTATGTTTTTTTTTTTTTCAAATCAACGCTGTTTGAATGTAATTTTCTGTAATAATTTGTAATTGTATTTGTGCTGCTTTTTCAACAATGTTCCCCCCTCTTTTACCTCTATTTTTATTTGTACTCAACACATTTTATTCTTTTTACCCATTAGTTTTAAGCTTTAGTCATTAGTGTTTTTTCCTGCCCGAAACGCTTTGCGTAATAGTGGCTTTAGGCATTGTATGTACTAGCTCTATCTATAAAGCCAACAAACTTTGTAAAATCTCTTTATGTATGTACCTTTACCTAAATAAAAATTATTATTATTATTATTATTATTATTATTATTATTATTATTATTATTATTATTATTATTATTATATTCAGAGATTTGAGTAGGGGTACCGAGTGATGTCTGGGGCTAGAGTTGGATATTGTTCTAATAGCAGCTTTGTGTTGAGTAATTAGAGGACGTAAGTGATTTTGGGTAGTAGAGCCCCAAGCACAAATACCATAGTTGAGATATGGATAGATAAGGGAGTAATAGAGAGTCACCAGGGCAGGGTGTGGTACACAATATCTGATCTTAGAAAGAATGCCCACAGTTTTTGAAACTTTTTTTGATATGTTTAGAATGTGTCCCTGGAAATTCAGCTTGTGGTCAATGAGAATGCCAAGGAATTTGCCATCTAATTTGTTACAAATTTGGGTATTGTTTATTTTGAGATTTATTTGATTAGAGGATTTATTGCCAAATAGAATGTAGAAAGTTTTGTCAATGTTAAGGGTGAGTTTGTTGGCAGTTAGCCACAGATGGACTTTATTTAGCTCAGTATTTACTGTGGCATTTAGAGCAAGGGATCAGGACTGGAGTAAATGAAGGTTGTGTCGTCAGCAAATAGAATTGGTTTGAGGTGTTGGGAGGCATTTGGAAGGTCATTAATGTAGATGAGAAAGAGGAGAGGGCCAAGTATGCTGCCCTGGGGAACACCAATGTTGATGGGTAGTGTGGGAGAAATTGCATTATTCACAGAAACACATTGGAGCCTGTCAGTAAGGTAGGATTTGAGGTATTGCAGGGAGTGTCCTCTGACTCCATAATGATGTAATTTAAGAAGAAGGTTTTGGTGGTTGACAGTATCGAAAGCTTTACGCAGGTCCACAAATAACCCAACAGGGAACTCATTTTTATCAAGAGCTGTATGAATCGAGTTAAGCATACTAATAAGTGCATCGTTAGTGCTTTTTTTTGGGTCTGAAGCCATATTGGCAAGGGCTAAGTATATTGAGTTTGGGTAGATATGAGTAAAGCTGCTTATAGATTAGTTTTTCAAAAAATTTTGACAAGTTTGGCAGGATTGATATAGGTCTGTAGTTGTTAACATCTGTGAGATCACCACATTTGTGGACAGGCGTTACTCTCGCTTTTTTTAGAATATCTGGAAAGGTTTGGAGTTCAAGTGACTTGTTGAAGAGCAAAGCAATAGCAGGAGCTAAAGATCTGGAGGCTTTTTTTTAGATTAAAGTTGGTATCTCCTCAAGGGCACCAGACTTGGTTTTAAGGGAAAAGATTATCTCATTGACAAGATAAGAGTAAAGCTGCTTGTAGATTAGTTTTTCAAATATTTTTGACAAGTTAGGCAGGATTGATATAGGTCTGTAATTGTTAACATCTGTGAGATCACCACATTTGTGGACAGGGGTTACTCTCGCTTTTTTTAGAATATCTGGAAGTTCAAGTTTGCATAATATACAACTTCTCACAGAAATTGAACATATAGGAAAAGAAGCCCATAATCGAGGGCTGTCAATCACCCTAAATTGGATACCAAGTCACATTGGCATAGATGGTAATGAAAAGGCAGACTCACTAGCAAAAACTGCCACTGCTCTACCTGTTGTACAGGTTCAAATACCTCCACGTTTCTCACAGATAAAGGAGCAAATCAAGAAGAAAATATTCTCAACTATCAAAAGTCGCGACAGAGCCAAAGTAGCAGAAGGAAGATCCACTGCGATATGGTACGAACAAGCCACTGGTTACTCCTCTTTTAAGCCTGGCAAAAAGATATCCAAAGACATTACAGTAACCATACACAGACTCAGACTTGGTTACAAGTGCTGCTGGGAGGTAATGTCACTACTTACTGGAATGTGAACCTACTGAACCCCTGCACATCAAACTCAACATTAATCCAACGACAGCAGCTGCATTAGATGCACATTCCACCGCGACTACAATGATTAGAAAAGCTGTTGAGGAATGGGACTCATTAGTGAGCATTCTGCATCTACATCCGCCCCCAAGATAAATAAATATATAAATAAATAAATAAATAAATAAATAAATAAATAAATAAATAAATAAATGTTTATTTAGGTAAGGTACATACATGCAAGAAATTTTTACAAAGATTGGTTGACTTATAGGTAGAGCTAGTACACATACAATGCCTAAAGCCACTATTACGCAATTAAAGCGTTTCGGGCATGAAAAACTTAAATGACAAGCTTAATACTAATTGAGCATAAAGAGTAGAATGAAAACAAGAAATGAAAACATAGCTGAAAAAGCAGCACAAATACAATTATGTCGACAAACAGCGCTCTTTAAAAAAAAAAAACAGACATTGGTTGACAATAGAAGGGTAAGGTAGGTTACAGGGAATTTATTAGGTATAGCTTCGTTTTTATCTTAAACTGGTTGAGAGAGGTACAGTCTTTAACATGGTTGGGAAGGTCATTCCACATTCTGGGTCAATGTTCTGAGATAATGTTAATAAAACAAGATTAAAACCAGTGCACTAAAACAGAAGCGATAAATAAGCAGGGAAAAAGGAGAAATCCCCTCCTCCATTTTAAACTTAGACCCAAATATCACAGGAAAAAGGTTATCATGTATAACCAAACTCAATTACGGGCTCACCATACCCCGTGCTACATGGACACTTCGTCCTGAGTAGCTAAATCTTTAACAACAACATACTACTACTACTACTGCTCGGCTTAGACTCTGTTATAAGTACAGTAGTTAGTTTTTAGCTTAGTTCATTTATTATGCACCCCATACCCATCTTGTGGGCGGCAGTGGAAAGGGTTACAGAGGCATATAATGGGCTCAGGGACTGAACCCCACAATTCATTTAGCTAAGTATGTAACAATCTTGATGAGCTAGTTACAAAATTTATTATAAGTCGTGACATCATCAATTCTTGAGTGTGTGAAGTAATTACACAGGCAGTCACCAAGTGGAAGCAAGGACATCGTGCTGTAGCTGCCTCTCGCTCACTACAACAACAAACATCATGTCGAATCAGCTGGTATAATGGCCATCCATTACTCGTCTCTGTCGCCCCCCAACCAATAACAACTCGTCTCCGGATTGGCATTCCTGCCTGCCTGCTCATCTCCATCATCTGCGGTTGGTAGACTCCTCATACCATTCCCCATTCCCCATTCCACGAGAAGTATAGGTTAGGGGGTCATCTCCAAAGAAGTGTCAAGGAGGTACTCATCAATGCTGTCCAAAATAATTAGGAGAGCCAAAATAATGTCTTTTTCTGATATCCTTAAAAAAGCAAGAGTGAGGCCAGTTTATAAAGGAGGCGAGACAACACACATAAACAATTACAGACTAATATTAAATCTACCTATACAGTACTGTACTTTAAAAAATATTTGAAAAATTATTTACAAATAACTGTATTCCTACTTAGTAAAACTCAACGTGTTAAGTCCCTGCTAGTTTGGCTTCCATTCCCAAAAGAGTACCAATGATGCCATTATTAGTCTGCTTGATATAATCTACTCAGCCCCTTGACAAAAATAAGTCCCCAGTTGGCCTCTTCATTGACCTGAGAAAGGTCTTTGACACTGTAAACCATAACTACCTCTTGCTTCAACTTTACTACTACTGTACTATGGTATCCAAGGCCTTGCCCTGGACTATATTCATTCCTAAGTGACAGACACCAATATGTAGCCATCAATAGCATAGCCTCCCCCATTCTACCATTGACAGTAGGGGTGCCACAGGGCAGCATCCTAGGACCTTTCCTATTTCTTACATACATGAATGATTTGCCAAATGTTTCTAACATTCTTAAACCTATACTATTTGCTGATGATACTATTTTCATCTATTAAGTTTTTTTTATGTTTCCCCGAGGGTCAAGTTTATTGGACAGCACCACTCATCCTGTGAGTGGACTCACTGCCATAGCAGCATGTACAACACCCCTAATAGGAAGAAAACCCTCTGGGTTGTTCATCTTGTCACTTGTACCTAGACACAGCCGAGACTTGCTTAACTGTTTTAAGTGTTTAGCCCTCAAGTTGACTATCTCCTTAACAGTATGAATTCCTGTATGCTCATCCCTGCAATCACCAGGCCCCCCGATTCACTCAAACTTCCGCTACTACCCTGGATCACTTATGGACCAACATAATAGCTCCCCTTACCTCAGGTATAATTACTGACAGAACAACTGACCACTATCCTACTTTCCTTGTTGCGAACATGGCCATAACACCACCAGCTAACAAGAAACTTACCTTTAGGTTACACAGTGAAGCAGCATTAGGCAATCTCTCAAATGTATTAGGCTCAAAAATGCCTCAAATGCCCCCCACAATATAAACTGGGAATCTGAATTTAACAATACACAGGATATAAATTCGTTAACTAGCCTCTTCCTTTCCAAAATTCTAAGCTTTTACAATACTTATTGTCCTCTCCTCACCAAGCAAATAACTGGCAAAAGGTTAAATAATCCCTGGCTAACTAATGGCATACTCAAAGCAATAGACAAGAAACATGAATATGAAAAAAAAACTTAGGATTGGCCTAATTGCAAAGGAAGTAGTTAAGAGGTACTCGTCAGTGCTTACCAGTATAAGAAGATCAAAGTGTTCCTATTACGAGAATAGATTTAAAGAAGCAAAAGGCAACATGAAAAGCACACGGAGAGCCATCTCTTACATCCTAGGAGCTAAACAACATTCACATAACCAGATAAAATTCTCCAAGGATGGTTTTACACCTGCAATGGATCTTGAAACAGCAACTGAATTTAATAGCTTCTTTTCATCAATTGGTGCTAACCTTGCCCGAAAAATCCCACAGACTCAGACACATGTTACCACATATCTTTCAGGCAGATACCCGAACACTCTTCTCCTTTCACCGATCAGCCCTACAGATGTTGTGTCCATCATTCACTCACTAAAAACCAAAGCTGGGAACACTAGTGAAATACCATCGTTGGTATACAAGAGTGCCTTCCATGCCCTTGCACCACCTATAGCTTTGCTGTTCAAAAAGTCTCTTAGAGTGTCATACCTTCCTGATATCCTTAAAAAAGCCAGAGTAACGCCAGTTCATAAAGGAGGTAAAACGGCATACATAAATAATTACAGACCCATATCAAATCTACCTATATTATCTAAAATATTTGAACAAATTATTTACAAACAGCCCTACTCCTATGCAGGTGATGAGTCACAATAATGTGGCTGAAGTATGTTGACCAGACCACACACTAGAAGTTGAAGGGACGACGACGTTTCGGTCCGTCCTGGACCATTCTCAAGTCGATCAGCTCTACTCCTATCTTGTAAAATTCAATATACTAAGTCCCTGTCAGTTTGGCTTCCGCTCCCAAAAGAGTACTAATGATGTAATTGTTAGTCTGCTTCACTTAATCTACTCAGCCCTTGACAAAAGTGAGTTTCCGATTGGACTCTTCATTGACCTGAGAAAGGCTTTCGATACTGTTAACCATAACTATCTCTTACTTAAACTCCACCATTATGGAGTCCTTGGCCTTGCCCTGAACTATATCCGATCCTATCTTAGTGACAGACACCAATATATAGCCATCAACGATAAAACCTCTCCTACTCTACTACTAACTGTAGGAGTGCCACAGGGTAGCATCCTAAGACCCCTCCTGTTTCTTATATACATCAATGATCTGCCTAATGTGTCTAACATGCTTAAACCTATATTGTTTGCTGATGATACTACTCTCATCTACTCTGACCCCCAACCCACTCATATTAAATAATGTTGCAAACAATGAATTAAAAAAAGTCCACTTGTGGATGTCAACCAACAAACTCTCACTAAATATAGAAAAGACCTACTACATATTATTTGGAAGCAAATCAACAAATGCAATTCAGCTTCAGATAGATAATGTAAACATTAGCAATAAAAATGATGGATAGTTCCTTGGCCTATACTTAGACAAGAGACTCAACTTCAGCACCAACATACAACACATAACTAAAAAGGTTTCTAAAACAGTTGGTATCCTCTCTAAAATCAGATACTGTATTATGTACCCTACTCTGCTCTCCTCTCTATTATGCACTTATCTATCCCTATCTTACTTATGGTATCTGTGCTTGGGGTTCAACCTTTGCAAACTACCTCAAGCCCATCATCACACAGCAAAAATCTATCAGGACAATAACAAACTCTGCTTTCAGACAACACACAGCTTCCCTGTTTAAATCCCTAAACATGCTAAAATAACTTCACTCGATACATTCTCTTGTGTCAATTACATTTATAAAACCCTATTCTTAAGTGCAAACCCTGTTCAGAAACTCTTCCTGGACAGATGTAATAGGACCTATTATCACCGCACCAGACATAAATATCTCTTTGATATCTCCAGAGTCAAACTTAATCTGTGTAAACACTCTATGCAAATAAAGGGACCTAGTCAATGGAACTCACTCCCTAATGAATTGAAAGGTGTCCAACTTTTGCCTTATTCAAAACCAAAACCAAAAAGTACCTAATTTCATCTTTATAGTTTTCCACCTAGTGCTTTATCTCGCACTGTACCTAGTGCTACCCAATCCCTCAATATTTGTACCTAAGCCATATTACTTTACCATTGTAATCTTAGATATCATCTGACATAGTTGTTGTGTTGAGTACGTGTTCTACTGCATTATTCCTTGAAATGATCCTCATATTGTGCTTCAGTGAACCAATGTATAATCCTGTAATGTTATCCTATGTACCTAGTAATCCATGTTCATTATTGTGTACTGTTATTATTGTGTATTATTCTGATCTGCTTTGTGTCAAAATTTCTTGCAATGTACCTTTAAACATTTTTTGACAATTTTTCTGTAATTATTCTACTTAAAATTATCTGTACCTATAAAGTATAGCTGTAAAGTACCTGTAAACATTTTTTTGTTAATTTTGCTGTGAATTATCTAAAAATTATGCGTTAGTGTAAGGACTTGCCCGAAACACTATGCGTGCTAGTGGCTTTACAAGAATGTAAAATCAACTTAATTTCCATGTTCTCTGTTAACCCCCAATGTACCTTGTTGTATATAAATAAATAAAAAAAAATAATAAAAATAAAAGTGAACAGCTTATCAAACATGAAGATTAACATTTGTCAACCCTTAAAAACTTAGGTTATTTTGTGAGTGCGAAATGGGGAAATCTCTTGAGAACAGCATTTATATTTGACAGATAGTATATTCTTAAATATTTCATGTATTCTGACCCCTACCCCCATACACTAAATAATGTTGTCAACAATAAATTAAAAATAAAATCCACTCATGGATGTCAACCAACATACATACACTAAACATAGAAAAGACGTACTACATTCTATTTGGTAGTAAATCATCGAATCAGATTCAACTTCAAATAGCGTGAGAGAGAGGAGAGGAGACGCCAGCGAGGCGACAGACTGACCTCTGGGGTCAGCCTCAACCGGCGCAATGGAGAATAACAACTGTGATGTGTTCATGACGTCACCTCTGTTACTGATCATGGAACGATCAATATGATTGGTTCCCACTCTTTTGCTGCAATGCTATTGGTCAAATTCTAATCCCTTGTGTGTGTCCTACGAGATGCCCTACAGCAGCTGGCAAGAGCATTCACATGAGGGAGCCCGTGCATAGAGGACGTGTCCTGTTCTGTCTATCGGTCAATAGACAAAAGAACACCGTCTATTCCTAACCGTCAAGTTAAACTCGCCGTCTTTTCGATATACCAATGCTCGCCCGGAATCGCGACTCTGACTAGATTGTTTAGAAGCCTAGTGACAAATCACCAGATCGAAACAGATTGGTATCAGGTAATCCCGGGTGAAAAATAGAGATCGTCTGTGAGTGACCTAGATTGAACTAAGGCAGTACCGCCACCTAAGTAACCTGTGTGTGACTTTACCACAGTGTACCGCATGGTACCATATAGTCAGCCGCCGCGAGCCGCCGCCAGCCGCCACTCTGTCCCGAGAGTGTAGCCCGCCAGCAGCCGCCCTCACTGTACTATGTGACATCACCACCCTTACTCATCGCCAGTGCCATCAAATGTGTGTGCGTGTGTCTGTAGACATACAGCGCGCCCTTGAGGTTATCTTGAGATGA